CCAGCAAGCGGGGGCTGAGCGCCACCCAGCACGCTGCACCCACTGAGCCGCCCGGAGATTCTCATCATTTACGGTCCGTGTTGAGGTCTACAAAATTTGCGCAAAACCGATGCCTGACCCACAAAATAGCCCGGCATGAAGTCCTGCCTTCAGCTTGGGTTTCTCACTGCGGCGACTGCATGCCCTTAACGCATGGATGGACCCGCCAAGGCTTTTCCAGAAGCACTGCGGAGTTTGCAAGCTCAGAGTTGTGAAAGTCTGCACCGCTTTCAGCCTCCAGTGGACAAACGAGCGTGGCGCCAGGCCTGCAGCAGTCGACACACGTTCGGGTGTGACAGGCGCAGGTAGAGCGTGACCTGGGAGCAACTTAAGCTGCGCAGCGATTGGTGTGATTCCTGAGGCACCCTCCAATGCTTGTGGTTTTGGCGTTGTCAGACTTTCAAACCGTCCAGTGGGTGCTCCCGACGTGCTGGAAAAAAGCTGCTAGAAAGGCTAGGTTCGGCCCTCGCAGGCCGGGCTCCGCCAAAATGCCCAAGGGCTGTGGGATGTTTTGGGCGAGGCGTTTGCACTTCAGAGCCAGCAAAATTGGGCAATGCATTAGGTTGTCGCTGCTAAGCTCTAACCCCCTCAATTATTTGACACTAGTGGTTGTCTGCAGCGTCATTTGCATCTTGGCTACGTTCTTGTCGAAGCTTTCAATTTCTTGACGCTTGGGCCAGCTGACGGTTTTTGCCACCACTGTTTGCTGCCTTCCACAGCCCGAAGACAGCGCTGAAATCTCGTGTCATGTGCTGCAATGCTCGGTGTTGACGCTTCTACAGCCACAACCTCTGCAACAAACCCATTTGGCTCAGGGCGAAGACTCAACATGCCTCAGTTGGATGGCCCACTCAGTAGTCTTCTCCAAGGGCCCACTCAAACAAATTTCCCCCCAAATTTCCCCAAAAATCCCACAGGCTAAGCATTCCTCCCCCGAACTTCCCCCCCAAATTCGCCCCCGGTTCGTTCCGCCTCCTCGGGCAGGGTGTTGTTATCAGAGGCCTCCAGGCACTTGGCCGCCACCCGGCGCCCGCTCTTCCGGTGCTTGGCCACGAGCACGGCGCCGTGCATGCCCGTGCCCAGCACCTCCTCCCGGCCCTCCTGCGCTTTCAGCGGCTTGCACCCGTTGAAGCTCAGGTTTCGGCCACGCTTCAAGGCTTCGGCCATGCTTACCCAACAAAATTGAGCCCGTCCCCATCCATTCAATACTTTGCTTCTCTTGCGTCCAGCGTCCTCGGTGTGAGAATGTGCTAAGGTGTCAAATGTTGAGGGCCTTCTCTACATCTGAGGGCAGGGTACCTCATCACTCATCATGCCAAGTTGACTTGGGTTCTCGCGCACCTGGCACACCTTCCATTAACCTTGGCCCTCTGGACAACACTTCGCTGAATTGTCACCTGCCACTGAGCCGGCTCCTTCCCAATGTCGTAGACTTCCTTGGATCTACGAGGGCGAAGGGTTGGGATCGTTTCGAGGCCTCCCAACTTCAAGGCAAAGCTCGCCGAGGGCGAGCCCTCAGGTGAAATCCACCGAAACCTCATGGTCAATCAAGAGTTGCTGCATCTACAAGAGGTGTCATAACAAACATGCGATTCTCTGAATGAACATACTGGTGTCCCCTGGTTTCTGTGAACTCGGTGAGCTCCCGGGTGCCCTCCCCCGGACCTGGCTGAACCGATGTGCGGGATTGCGGCAGGAAAGTTATATATCTATGCGGCCCAGAGTCGTGGAAAGAGATGTGCCTGAGCACTTTCGACTGGATGGGAAGTGGCAGCTCCGACTCCTGTCGGGTTCGTGGCAAATCAACAGGGCCTCTTTCAGATTGGCAAGGGCCAGGACTCGGCGCCTGCTGCAAACAGACCTCCAAAGGCGCATCAGCCTTCAGCAGCCTATGCTCCGCATTGCTGCATGTGATTCTCTGGTCACGGCTCGCTTGGTGCCTCGTGAGCTCAGTATTTCCAGCAATAAACATGCCCAAGGCCGAACTCCAAGAGACGAAGCACACCACTCTGACCAACAGGAAGCCTCAGTGCATCCTGGCGAACCCGAAGTGCTTCCTGCTCAAGTCACAGCCATACCCCACGAAAATCCAGTCCCTCTCTCCCGTACCGCGAACGAGGCTTCCGTCGCGTCCTCTGCGCGGGGCTCCAGGGACTCGTCGATGGAGGAGCTGGAGCCCGCGGAAGTGGTCTGGCCGCCGAAGCCGGCTTGCCCGGTGAAGGAGCTCACGGTCTTCGTCACGGTGGTCCTCACCTCAACGGCCAAGCCACCGTGCGGAAAAAACAATCCCGCTGCCATCGCTGCAAAAAACAAAAACAAAAACAACAACCTCAGAACTGCGTAGGAGAACCCAAAAATTTAAGACAGCATAAACCCCCCCCTCCCTTACCCCCCCCCCCTTGAGACATGCTATAGCACTGCTATTGGAGTGTTATAACACTGTTAAAGTATTTGGCTCCAAAAGGGTACCCCACTGACTACAAGCCCTGGAAACTGACACCCACCACTACGCTCATGCTCGTCCCCCTCGCACCCCTTCCTTCCCCGTCCCCTGCCCTTCCCGTCCGCTCCCCCGAAGCTTCAGAAGTCCGTAAGTCTTCCGCAAGGCTTCCGGAAGCTTCCGGAAGCTTCCGGAAGCTTCCGGAAGCCTTGCGGAAGCTTCCGGAAGCCTTGGGGAAGCTTCCGGAAGCTTCGGGAAAAAGGGGGGGGAGGGGGGGACCACCCTTGTTTCAATCTCCCCCCCTTTTTCCCAAAGCTTCCCTAAGGCTTCCGGAAGCTTCCGCAAGGCTTCCGGAAGCTTCCCCAAGGCTTTCGGGAAGCTTCCCACCTATTTGGCCCAAAGCAGGGGGGGGGTAAAGGGGGGGGGGGGTTGCGGCTTCTTAAAAAATACTCTAAAAACTAGGAAAACCCTTGGAAGTTGCAAACTTCTTGGCGGATGCAAGCACTGGATTAACTAGGCAAGGCAAGAGCTAAGGCAAGCAAGCGGGCGGAAACACCCCGGTCTCCTGTTGGTGCGGGTGTATTCCAAATTAAAGTAACACTCACGCAAGTGCCATTTAGAAATGCTCAAGAGTTGCACCACTCTGCTTTTTGTTGGGGCTAACGAGCCAACAATTCTAGGGTAGCCACAACTGATAGAACACACGAGTTTGTAGATGTTTCGGGGGTTTTTTGGGGGCCCACCCTCTAAATTTGTCATATATGTGCCCATGCATGCTACAAAGGGTCTCACAGTCTCACCCATCCAACAGCCCCATGGCTGAGGCGATTCACTACCCCTCCCCAGCCCCTGCATGCAGGGGACACCCGAGCCGAAGGCTGCCATGCTGAAGGCCAAATCCTAAGCAGGCGAAAGGATTTGAAACGGAACCACCTGCAATTTGGCTTAAGGAACAAAGATCTGCCCCCCTGCCACGCCTGGCAGCTCACAGACCTGTGCCGTTTCCGGAAGAGCCGGCGCACGCCCCAGAAGACCAGGCAGGCCGCCAAGCTCGAGGCCTGAACGGCAGGTCACCCAGAAGTGGGGGGGGGATTCTGCCAGGGCGGGGGGAAGGGAGGGATTCTGCCTTCGAGGTACCTGAGCGTTGCTAGTTAAAAGTTGGGGACGGAGCAGGGGCAGGAGCCGGCGCAAATAGCAACAGCATCGACGACTGCGACAGCTCACACAAGTTTGCAAATCGAAGAGGGCAGCTGCGAGAAAGTGCGAGCGACCATTGCCATACACGAGGCAGGTCCGGGGCGAGGTTGGGGCGGAGTTGTTGGAGCTATCCGAGAGCCCGGAGCTTGGGAGCCTAAATTTGGAGGGGAGGCATGTGTTAGGGGAAGGGTCGCTCACCTCAACTTAGCCCACAACATGGGGCTAAGCTTTGAAAAGGGCACGGCAAACGTTTAGTGAATCTCTGCGGTTTCCGTGAGGTTTGGGGAATGACCCTCCTGCCCAATGAAGCACGCGCACAAAACCGCTTGAGGTAACTTGATCCGTTCCTGGTACAATTACCGCCATATGGAAGCGACTTGGTAGAAACGTGCAACAAATATGGACCCCCTCCGCACTGAGAAGAAGCAAGTGAAGCGAGCAGAGCTCAACAGCCCTTTCACCGCTCACCTGGGGGGGCCCAAGCCTCTTTCTTAGGAGTGCTGGGGCTGGAAAGGGGAAACAAACAAGGTCCAGTGTTCTAGTAGTTTCCGAATGCATGCTGAGCATGAAGGCTGGGAGCGATCTATTGACATCTTCCACGTTTGATGGACGCATGGGTGATTGACGTTGACTAGCGGAGGTGAACAGCATTGGAGTTGACCCCATGAAATTCTAGAAGTGGGCGCTTCTGCCTGGTCCACTCGGCAAACGTATTGCAGGGGTGCGCGCAAGGAAACTCCATCACTGCATGGACAACTTCTCTGGCTCGGCCAGTATCCACCCACCCCAAAAAAACATCAGCCAAGTGGCTGCAAGCTTCCCAGTCATCAATCGCAGCAGCAAAGATGGCAGGCAGAATCGCATGGCATGTGCCTGCCTCCTTAGGATTGCTTAGTCTGCGTCACCACTGGGCTTGAAACATCTAGCATCTAGAACAACTGGCCGGATCATACGTCTTCGCAAGGCCCTTTCCCCTTGCCATCACATCAGAAAAATGCAAAGGCTCTCTTGGGACGTGCTATTCTGACACTGTGCACCATAAAGCTCTGAGCCGAATTCGGTGCCACCTGAACTCCTGCCTGTGCCGCACTGGCCTGGTCAGACAGAAGTTGGTTGCCAAGATCTTTCAGAGGTGACTTCCTAGCATCCAACCCATAGAAATCAAACCGTCTTGAACGTGCTTGTCTCGGTATCTGCTTACCCCAGATTGCAGCACATCCGCAAAGAGCAGTAACGACGAGCTGCGACTTGCGACAACCAGCAACAACAACGACGACAACACGCACCAGAAAAACAAGCCACAGTGGAGCTTGAGGCTGCCGACTTGCCGACAGTGCCCCCAAAGAGAAGGGAGACAGCCTGGCCAACAGCACTGCAGAGGCTCGCCTGCTCAGACGTCTGTGATACTGGGTGGTGTATGTGTATGTGTGTATGTGGTGTGCATTGCACTTTGTGCGGTTTGCACTGGCTGCTGTTGATAGCTATGCAGTGCAACAAAACACGCATCTCCGCACCTTGATTTGCTTTCCTGCTCGCTACGCATCCCCATCACACATGCTCATCAAGCAAGCTTCGACCATGGCAACTGCTACCAGCCAAACACAAAACATACAACAGCTTCTCCTTATTATATAGCGGTTTGCGTCGCCATGCGTCGCCATGATGGGCTCTGGAGCCAGTGTTGGAAGCGCGCCACGCAGGGTCAGAAGCGAAATACTCGCTAAAACCACATACATCTTATTTCAGCGGGCACCGTGGGGTCGAGAAGCAGCCGTCAACCCCTCGCCTCGCCAGGTGAACCCCCGTCACACATCTCGTAGCAGGTATGCATCCTGAGCGGCAGCGCGCAGATCGATCCTTTGGGCTTACCTGAACTTTTTGAGGCTTCACGGGAGGACTCCCTGTGCCAAATGGACTGCCGGCTTGACCTAGTCAACGGATCCGATCCAATTCGAAGCAGCACGCCTCAAGCTGTCAGGAAGTGCGCCCTGCTGAGCGCACCTCCTGACCTCACAGGTTGAAGCGACGAGCCTAAGGCTGGTGCTTGCAGAATGCCTTCTCGAGCAATGGAACCCACCTTAGTGCATGATGCCCCCCACCCGTCAACTCGTCATGAGGGAAAACTGCCCGTCTGTGAGGAGATGCCTCAAATGGACTAAATCTGAAGGGATGACCAAATGCTGTGCTGCACCATGTCCGGGACTGCCCAAAATTGCACCGCGCTGCTGTTTGCGCGGATGCCGCTCGGGCGCGCCACAACCCCGGCAAGCGCTGAGGTTGACGCACCTCATCATGATCGTAGGCGCGGGCGTACCTGGACTCAGCGGGGAGTCGGTAGAGTGGAGATTTCTGGGTTCTGGAAGGGGGCAAGACAGCGAATGATAGATTCCAAGTCCAAAAAAGCCACAGCTGCTCGTGTCTAACGTCAAAAACTCAATCTTCTGGAATGAGGGCAGCGCAGCAGACGGCCGTACTCATCCACAGGCATCCAGTCCTGGTCTTGCCATAAAGCGGTTCCTCAACATGGGGGGGTGGAACGAAAACCAAGTCAAGCAACTCCGGTTTGGTTGAATAAAGTGTCATCGTCTCTTCCCTTCTATCCTTCGTACTGTCCGGTGCCATGTTTACCATGCTTCTGTCAGCCACTCTCCCTCCGCTTAAATGCAGCAAAGAATCGTCAATAATGGTGTGGTACCATTCACCATCCAGGCAGAACCTGGCATCATGCAGCAAATGACTCTGTTGAGCGAAAGCCTCAACCCGGGAAGCTTGCTGCTTTTGGCGGCTTCGGTCGGCAAGCGGGAACTTTGCCCAGCCTGACCCCGTAGACTCCCAATTGCATGTCGTAGGCCATGAAGCAAGACCGCACGTTCTCGGGGTCTTCACCCACCTTGCAGTGCACAAAGGGCAGTAGAAGGGGTCATGCCAAACCTCCCAAGGCTTGGGAATGCCGCAAGCTAGCAAGCCTCTAGTTCTTTCACGCTCAGCGCAAACCGACACGGCCGAGCGTCCCTGCCATTGCGCCCAACGCCTCGGCAGGCGTCGGCTTGCCGGTGATAAGGCGATCTCGTGCCAGGAGGCAAAACTGAAGGCTAACATTGGCAACCATGTTGCGCACAAGTGCCTAAAGGGCCAGCCGCGGAGATGTGGGCAGCATCCATGGGCAGAACAAGAATCCGAGCTGTGTGACGATAGGTGCCTAGCAGTCCACAAAGAAGGGGCATCCTGGTATCCCGGCAAAGCGCAACTCCGAAATGAATCAGCCAAAGCGTTGTTGCTCTGGGGTCAGTCAACGCTTCTTTTTCTTTTTGTCTGACTGGACCGATTGCAATTGCAGATGCGCATTTCCATGCGCGCTTGCTGCTATCAAGGATTCAGGCACGCCAAGACCTGTGACGCGCAGCCCACGTTGGGCTGGCATCGTGGCCAACTCGGCCAGACGCTTGCCTTGCTGTCGCAGGGAGAATTGATTGGAATTGTGCGACTGCCTAACCCTTGCGTCGGGCTGGTGCTCAGGTGTAAGGTGTGGAGAAAAAGAACGGCATGCCGCAGCACCAGTTCCGACAGGGTGCCAGTGGCACCGAGATCAAAACTGACCTGGAGAGTGAACCAGGCCATCGGACCATAGACATCCATAGACCGTTTCGGCCTGATTGTGCATAGGCACAATTCATGGGCAGCTGACACCGCGAAAAGCGCAAAAAGTGGAAGTTGCGGGCGAAAGCCCTTGTGCCGGCCGTATCTTCTATGCAACCTGCGCCGCCCTCCCACAACTCTCGTACCAATACCAAAGCAGCACAGACTGGAGGAAAACAAAAACACATCTACACAGCCTACACTGCCCATTGTCATAGCATGCTGGAGAGAACTGGTCGACCACAGCCAGGCACTCACAAGCACTGGGCTCATCAAAATCCCGGCCATGCCATACGCCGATTCTTGCAGCCCCCATTGCCACTTAAGCCCAAAGCCTAGCAAACAGCCCGCACTGCTCGGGTTGGCAAACTAGGTGAAGCCCATATGGGCGATTCATCAACATTGAGGATTCCGGTTCCCAAAAAGAACACACAACCATGTGTCTCATCCCCTTTCTTGAAAAGAAGCTCTGAAGTGCTGTAGGGCCATGCTCAAAATGAATGCATGACCTTAAATACATGTTAGGATGTCCAAGGGCTCCCCTCAAGGATGCTGGTCTGGTGCAAATTTAGACAGAAGCCTTCCTGCAGGGACCTATATTGCCAGACATCGTTGGAGACGATGGTCCAGAACTCATCGATTGACCCCCTCTCCCCGTATAATTTTCCCGACGCTTGACCAGCAGACCGGCATCCATTCTATGGAGATATGTCACTATGCGGTGAACCCATCTACCATCCAAGCTGTGGGTAAGCGCCTCTGCTTCGCACCTGTTACAATGGCGGGTGGCAATGATGCGGGCGAGAGTTCAAGGTCAGATCACTAAAGCAAGGGCTCGTATGCGCAAAAGCACCGTGAGGCCTTGCCAAAATGCGGGCAAAGGCTTTGCAGGATGGGGCCGTCCAACCAAAACGCAAGCATAGTGAAGTGGGGACCCCTAGCTGACCATCAATCAGGATTCACTCTATTCTGCCCCGGTCGAGCCGAGCACACTTGGTCTTGTGAGCCTCACTTGCACACCAGGGGCAGCTGACATCAGCGGACAGCCTCAGGTGACGCTGGAAGCGGCGTGAAAACGCGTACCACTGTACCACGCTATGAATTGCACGATGATGTTGGGAGTGTGGAACAGCTTCGTTCATTGTTGCTCAATGTGCACTCAGACTTGTCCTTGGCACCGTGGGCTGAAATGTTCAAGGTGAGGCCCCCAGCTTTCAGTGAAGTTTTTTTTTTCCGCATGCTCTATCTCTTGGTTTCGTAAGGCAGCTCCTTGATTTCGAAACAAGAGCTGTCGAAGGGGACACCTCCAAAGATCACAGCTCCGCAGCCGCTCAGCCGCTCCGCAGCCCTCGTTTGGCCGAGCGGCTCGTTCACTCCGCCGTGGCCCGAGGGAGCGGGGGCATGCTGACCAAGACCGCGAAGCACACGACCCTCAGAGACGCGAAGCACACTCCCATTGGTCCGTGTGACATCTCTCCTCGTGCCATACCGTGGCCTACCTTGGGCGATGGCTACATTGTTTCTGCAACTGTGCAGGTTGAACTTGGTTTCAGCGTGTAGATGTAGCAGGTGCTATGAATGGCATATTGTGCTGACTGAAACTTGGCTGTCTGCCAAGGGCTCCTGTCACGTTCTCGATTCTGTGCCCTCTTCTACATCTGGGATCGCCCGAATGGGTTAAACACTTATCAAAAATCGATAAGCTTGGAGATGTTCGCTTTTTGGCTGCATGCTTTCCACATTCCTGGGTTTCAGTTGGGGGCCCCCGCGCGATGCCCGGCGTGAGGGGTGCGCAGGCGAGGGCCGCCACGGGCAGAACCCAGTCCGGCACCGGCTTGGGTTCCGGGAGGCCTCAGCTAAGTCCCTCAAAGGAAACCATGGGATGGATTGCTTTTTTGGGGGTCATGCCGCCTCATTCCCTGAGAAGGCTCTGAGAGAGGCAATGAGGCTCATGGGATTGTTGATCCAGCTACTTCCCAGCACAAGCAATTCATGGCTCTGAATACCTGCAGAGTAAAGAGAGCAACCTCGCAGGTCACCAGTCAAGTGCGAAGGGCATGTATTTTCCTTCGGCTAGAGACATGGGACTTACCTCTCAAGGTATACCTGAAAGTTCTGATACGCCATATATGTAATATATACGTTCCCAATAGCCATCCCGCATTAAAACAACCGCGGTTTAGAATTGGGGCATGTTCTTTCTTTGTGGGGAATGCGGTCTGGTTCTACGTTGCCCTGGAGGAATGATTTGTCCAGATCGAGTGAGAATCCATGCTCTGTGCTGAAATAGCAGCTTGGCCCACTTGAGGCCTTTCGCACTTGATAGCTCTTTGCTCACAGGTCGAAGGTGCGTCTGAGGCCTGACTTCATCTGCTGCCATGCCCATAACATGCCGTGTGGCCTGTGACGGGATCCACGTTGGTGCCGACCTGGGAAAGCATGGCAACCTGTGGATCTCAAACCCAGGAGTCTCCGTTCAAATGCTAGTTGCCCCTCCTGCCTTACAGCCAGATGAAACTCCTCAAAGAGAAATTATGACACGTCATGTCTTTCCATGGCACCGTGAATTGCCGCTCTTGAGCCTACACAGTGCCCGTGAAAACGCAGTAAGCCTCATCAACTGCCCTGTGCCCCGTCCGCCATCTGAGCCCAAAGCAAGCTGATCTACGCCGGGGCAACACACGTTGTAGTTGCCAGCCGCTCCCACAGCGCGATGATGGCCTTGCAATGACAGATGTCTGGCATCAGCAGAAGGCACCGGGAGGAATGAGCTGATAGCTGAAGCTGTGCTGCTGCTTGCGGTGCGAATGGGGGGGATCCCCACGTGAAGATTGAAGTGGGTGTGTCTAGGGGCATCCACTACTGTATCCCTTTGGGATATGGGTTGATGAAATTAATGCAGCATCAACTGGAGAATGCACACACCAGCCAACTCCCGGAAGAATGAGTGACGGATCCAGGCTCACACAAAAGAGGCAGCTGTTGTTCATCTACATAACAATGGCAATGTGTGTCATGTATGCACAGAACTTTGGCGACCCTAGAATTTGAGCTCGAAAAGCAGGCCCCCCTCAAAACTTGGCAAAACGCACACGTCACGCTCCACTCCAAGCCCTGGCCATCTACACTCCCAAGTGGCGCTTTATCCACATTCTGTCTTGAATTCTGTTCCCGCGCCATGACAAGTACATATGCTGGCACTAGCGCTGAGGCGTTGTCACCTTGCGCAGGCCTATGTTTTTTTTTCCGTCTACCTTTATGAGGCATGCATGCAATTGAGTTGATTGGGGGGCGCAACACATGAAGGCTCTTGCATGGCTTTGATTGTTTTATATGTCCGCCTTCGTGGTTCTTCCGCAAGAACTCGAAGACCGGAGAACCCCGCAGCGGGGCCAGGACGCTGCTCGGGGCACCCACCTGGCTCACTCGTTACCACCCGCCCGGTCAGTACAAAGGGTGGGGGGATGAAATGAGGTCAACACAGGTTGGCAGCAGGCACGAAATACATGAAGATCGGTCAGGATGGCCTTTCATGTCGGGTCGTGATATCTAACCAGCCGGCGGGAAGTGCAAAGGGACCAACACTTGCTGCAGGAACAAAAGTCGGCGTTGGGCAACACTGCCAACTGATCCAAAGCAACATCTGCGAAAGCCATTCAACTCGCGCAGTTGGTCGCAACCCTGCACTGGATCCATTCCAAAGCTGTGCCACTCCCTACAAGCAGGCAAAATATCGATTTTGCAGCTTGCTGGGTCTCGCTTCCCAAGAACCACCACACAAGGACGGAAGAGAGCCAACAAAAATGTGTCTGCCAACTCGGCCAGTCAGATTCACCGCAAGCTGGAAGCAAGCGAACTCAGTTCAAATGGTACCTTGGGTGGTAGTTCTGCCTCATACTCCGGCCTCCAGCGGCACATCAGGCAGGCCGTGCATGTTGGGATGAAGGGCCTAGTGATCAAAATCGCCCGAGGGCAAAAGAAACAACTTCACTCTGCGGGTAGTCCGGGTAGTCTGGAAAGATATCGTACAGCCAAATGAGCCAAACGAAACAATAGTTGGGAAGATTCTGCCCTTGAATGCACCGGCCAGCTCCCAGCTTGGTGCACGAAGGTGTGCAGCAATCGTCATACCCTGCTTTCATTACTGGCAGCCGGGGAGCATTCCAAACCAGCGCATGCAACAGCAACGCCGCCACCACCACAGGGATGATCACCTGGCCAGGTGCTGGCGATGACTGCTTCCAGCCAGACATTTGACATTTAACCTTGTCAAGGTAACCCAAATCCGGAAGCCGCCCTGTTCTGCCAGCATTTGATTCAGCCTTGCTAGAAGTGACCAAGCCCCAGCTGGCTGAGAACTATCTAGTGCTTGGCTGAGGGAAACTGGAATGCCGT